ACAGAATGGGATATTTATAAATCATATATGTGATATGGGTCTATTACCCAGAATATATAAAGAACTCATAACTTAACAAAATGACAACCCAATCAAAAAGTAAGCACAGGACTGGAACAGACATTTCTCTAAAGAAGATTTATAGATGTTAACAAGCACATAAAAAGATGCTCGACATCATTAGTCATTGGAGAAATGCAAATCAAAACACAACTGGGTTCCACTTCATACCCACCAGAATGACAATACTAGTAATAATGATACAGAAAATAAAAGTGTTGATGGGGATGTAGAGCAATCAGAACCTTCCTACGTTGCTGATGGGAGTGCAAAACCGTGCAGCTTCTATGGAAAAGAATTGCTATTTCCTCAAAAAGTTAAGCTTAGACCCAGCAATTTCACTCCTAGGCCTATACCCAAAGACCTGAAAAACAGGTTTTCAAACAAATACTTACATAGGAATGTTCATAGTAACACTGCTCAGGATAGCCAAAAAGTGGAAACAAACCAAAGGTCTATCAATGTGGCATATTCACACATGGAAACTTATTCAACCATAAAAAGAAGTGAAGTGTAGAAACATGCTACAACATGGATAAACCTTGAAGACATGATAAATAAAAATACTTGACACAAAAGGCCACCTATTGTATGACTTCATTTATGTGAAACATCCAGAATAGGTAAATCGACAGAGACAGGAAGCTGACCTTGTGGATCTCGCATTTCTTGTTGGAAAGCTCTTTTGATTTTTCTTCTTCAATGGTCAAGCTTTCTTTCTAACACTTATTGATCTTCTCGGGCTCTATAGGCTGGCGTTCCCCCAAGGCTTGGTCCAAAGACCCTATTCTCTTTACTCTCTACTTACTCCTCAAGGTGATTTCTTTCATGTCCATGATTTCCATGATAATCTGTTTGTCATTAACTCTAAAATTTACATATCACTTATAAACCTCTCTCTGAGTTTCATATCTCTCTAGCCAACATCTCCACTTGAATGAAAGAACTTTAAACAAAAAGATCCAAAACTGCACATATGATCTTCCCTTAAGCTGGTTTGGAATTTCCTGTCTCAAAAAATGACTCCACTATGTCTGAAAGTCATGAATCTGGGAGGCATCGCTGACATTTCTTTTCCCTACTTTCTTATCCATAACAAAGTCCTGACTCACAAATCCTACTTCTTCATGATATCATAGCCACTGTTCTGGTTCAAGCCACCATCTTACTCCTGGACTGCTGCCAGGACCTCAGAACCAGTTTCTCAAAGCCACTGAAATTCCTTCTCTACCCTGCACGCCACTGTGATTTTTTTTTAACTTTTTTTCCCCATTGTGGTAAAATACACATAACAAGAAATTTACCCTTTTAACCATTTTTAAGTGTACCATTCTCGGGTATTAAGCACATTCCTGGTCAGGGCACATGCCTGGGGGACATGCAGGAGGCAGTTGGCCGATCTTTCTCTCACACTGATGTTTCTCCCTCTACCTCTTCCTTTCTCTCTCTAACATCAATAAAAACATATAAAAAATTTAAATACTTCACTTTAAACCTCCTCATCTTCTTCCTTTTCTTCACCAGCTATTTTCTGGCATCCTTTCTTCATTCATTCAGTAAACACTTATCAAATGTCAAACACTGTTCTAACACTGAGTGCACAGGCATGAAGAAGAGAGAGCAAGTCCCCACCTGCATTCCACTGAAGGAAGAAAGAAAATGACCACGTGCAGAAACAAATAACAGGAGTGGATATCATGATGACTAGATGGCCAGAAGTGCTGTGATAGAATTAATGAGGGCTACAGAATAGAGGGTGAATTGGTAGGTGGGGGAAGAAATATGAGGGAGGTGGTTTTAGATACAGTAGTCAGGAAAGACAATAGTCAAATCAAGTCTAAATGATGAGAAAGATACCAAGATATGGGGGAGGAAACTCTGAGTATGAACCAGCACAAACTGGAGGAACAACAAAAAGGCCAAGAGGACTGCTGCACAGTGAACGAGGGATAAGGGTAAGAAATGAGGGAGAGGTGGGCAGGCACCACAGCACACAGCCCTTATAGGCCAGGTCAGGCTGTGGGTGTTGTTCCGATGGTAATAGGAAGCTCTGGGAGGGTTCTAAGCAGAGAGGTGATGTGATTGGATTTGTGTTTTAAATGAGCACTTTGATGCTATGTAGAGAACAGAGTATGGGGGGCTGGGTTTGGAAAGGGGAGAGAAGCATGAGTAGAAGTCGGGAGACCCAGTAAAGGCCGCTGTGCTGATACAGGTGAGCTATGGTGCCAGCTGGAAGCAGGTTGCTGGAAGTTTCTAGATCTGAGCAAAAGCAACGCCTTCACATTACTGCTTAGTGCGGTGCAGTCAGGCTTCAGAGGCACTGAGACCTGGGCTAGACACCTCTGAACCTCTGCATCATGGCCTGGAAACCCCAGATTCACAGGGTGCTCTGAAGAGTAATTCAGATGAAAAGCATCCGGCAGAGTCCCCCACACCTGTGGTCCTCAATAGATGGTGCTTCTGGTCTGCAATTCCACCGCCCCCCCCCCCGAAAAAGAAATGAAAACTGAGAATTATTTTGTCTTCATTTGTTTTATTGTTGGTATATTTGTAGCCCTCGGTCTAGACCTAAACTGACACGAGCTATTTAGTGTTTATCACACTTTGTTGCCCATTTATCATTTGACTGCAGAAATAGGCTGTATTATAAGTGCTAACCCCAAATCCTGCTGAGAGCATTACAAAATAGACAGGGTTTATGTGGCACCGCCTTTCTAAAACCTGCAATCTCTGAATACCATAAACACCTGGCCCAATGTTTCAGGATAAGAATCTGCAGATGTACCATTATTTTCAGGAACCCAAGTGTCATTTAGTTTAGTCACAACCATGAGACCACACCTCAAGTTGGAGGGGGTCAGAGGTCTCAGAACAGCAGTATGGAAGAGTCTTTATCAACTACTTAACCCAAAGTCCTTACAAATGCTTTAAATCCTCAGTATTTTTAACTCAAAGTAACTGCTCCTTATCAGAATGACAAGTCAGTTTGAATTTAAGTGAAATCTATGCACAAACTTATAGGCTGCTGAACTGACACGTTTGAAAAAGTACTTACAAGTTGGGGGCAGGGGTAGCCCCAGCAGGTTTCTTTTTAACTATTTTTAATGAATCTTGTTTTAATACTCTGTGACCATTTTCCTAAGAGATCACTAACAAGTGTTACATGCCCATCTTCCTCATACCCAGAAGTAGCTTTGGCTGTTCCTGGTCTTAGGGCAGACAGTGAGCGCCTGTGGGCCAGCCCCCTCCAGGGCCTGCACAATGGTTGCCAGCCACACGCATCCAAGGAGTATGTGTGAATTAAATGAACACACTACAGGCCGGGTGTTAGGGATCTCCAGGTTCACATAAGCAAACTGGAGAAAGTAGCACAGTCTGCTCAAGATTTTAAGTTTCTCAGCGACAGAGAGTGTGTACCTTTTAGCTTCTACCTGGCAAGGCATTTTTAGTACTAAAGGAATCACAGGCAATAGGAAATCTCATTATTGTGGGATTCAAAAGACAATTTATAAATAACCATTCATTAAACAACTATTTTATGAGCACCTATTATGTAGTAAGTGCTGGGGTTATACCAGCGAACAAAACCCTGCTCTGGTGGGCTCACTAGTGGAGGAACACAGACAAATCCACAAAAAAGGTCACAGGGTGGTAAGAACTATGTTGAAAACTGAAGCAGAGTAACAGCAAAGGGAGGGTGGGGTCCCTTTTACATGCAGGTTGCTCAGGGAGGCTGCTGACACAGTAGCATTCAACAAATGGGGAAGGAGAGGCACTGGCCTGGGCT